ATATAATCTTTCAAAATTGGGTCCTGAATTTAAAAAAATCAATTACATAGAATCGATAACCCGTTTTGGAAAGATGTTTTCTTATCATGGACTCCATTTTATCCGAAAGTTCAAATAACTAATTGGGAAGAATATCTTAAGCAACCTATCTGGTTCAATGCAACAGAGGCTCATCGATTTTTTATATATAATAATTTGTTTCACAAAAGGTATAACATTTGTTGCTGATTAGATAGATAATGATGGTCAATTTCATAGTTTACAATCTATACAAAATATTCTACAAATAAACATAAATTTCCTGCAATACAAGGGACTGTAAATTTTTAAGTTAAACTCGAAATATGTACTGAACAATTGAATACTTTGAAACCAATCCTTCCCAAACAAATTCAAGTAGTCACACAAAACATGAAAGGCTGTCATCCTATTTATGAAATGTTAGTAAACAATAAAAAAACACCCAACATCTCAAGATAAAGGGAAACATGAACTATTATTACCCAAAACTTTTGAATTGAAAAAAGGTTATACAACTGTTCACAAAATTACGTCAGATACTAACTTAAGATACCTCTAGTACAAATTAATTAATAGAATCCTATCAACAAATACTTTTTAAACGAAGATTGTAATCTAATATGACAATACGTGTTCTTTTTGTAGGGAAAAAAACCGAAACATCCTTACATCTTTTTTATTTTTATAAATGTCTGTATGTAACTCAATTTTAGCAGACTTTAAAAAAAATCATTAAAGCTTAATGTACGAATGTTACAGGTTATCAACTCTCAAAAGAAGAAGTTCTTTTTAGTATAACTGATCAAAAGAAAACGGATGAAACATTAAATTTTATTTTTCTTGTTGCAAAAAGATATATTTACACGTGTCGGTATAATAACCAAAACTTCAATATACAAACTTTTCATAATACGTTAGTTTTTCAATATAATGTAGTAAAGTTTATCCAATATTCTTCCTATAACTGGGATAGCTTTAATAATAGTTTAAACATAGTTTATTTTGAACAAATTTACAATTTATATACAGACAATAATGTACACAATACAAACATGACATGTTGAAAAAGGATAGGCTTCTCCTTATTTACAGTGCATAAAGTACGGTATGAAAGTATATGTGACTTGCTTGAAATATATCTGATTTTACATTGTTTTTAAGAAGTCAAAGTCAAAATTGTATCTTACATTTAGTAAACAATTTAATAATAGATGGTCTTCTTATCAAACTCTTGCAAATATTACAGGTCCTAATTGAATAATTATCTGAATATACTCTTAACTCACATTAAAACACAAGAGAATTTAATGTTTATAACAATCTTAAAGATAATAATAATAAACTATAATAACATCAAGAGCCTCAGAGGTGTCATATACATGTAGAGTGTTTTTCCTTATAGTCTTCTTTCATTATAATGTAATACATATATTTTTGGTGACACATCAACAAAAATAGCTTCGGGCCACCAGCTCATCATATAAATACATATTGTACATTTCCAATAGAAATTATATTTACTCTTTTTAAGCTCTTTTTAGAATCGTGTGGTAGAAATTGTTATAATCTAAAACAATTACAGGTATGTTGTTTTTACATCACCATACAAAATTATTTAGATATTATGATTGATGGAGCTGTCGCATACATGTTTGACTCATCGTGAAGTCGGGGGTACTCCTGACTCCCGACCTTCATTAGGGGTCGAGGGTTGGGAGTGCATCTGGCACGGCCTGTGGCGCGCGTTGCCACAGGAAGACCGTTTTTGAGCTTTTAGGTCCCAGGTCGTGCTCTGGTTGAGTTCAGGTCCACGATAGAGTAGGCGGAGACAGTTCTGGCTGATTTTACCATTATTTGTTTAATTTTTCTTTATGTAATATGTAATTGTGTATTTTGAAAAATTACCTTAAACCAGGAAGAAAAACTAAGCAATTTAGTCTTCTAATAAAGGGAAGCAAATTTGTAAACATATGTTAGGTACATTATAAAAGTTATTTTTCTTTATGAGAACATTGAAATATGGTCTTTGTTTAGCTACACTAATAATACATATAAAGAATCTCTGATAATAGAAACATGTAGATAAACTATTCCGTTAGGAGACATGGAATTGTGGTTTATTTTATTTAAGATACTCCTTGTCCATTGTGTTAATAACTTTACTACTATGTTATTAATTATGCGAACTATACATAACATAATACTTTCATATTATACATTTTTAGCCATATTCTAAACCATAATCCACAGCAATCCCTTATCTATTTTTCATATACACTTTTCGTTTAGGTTTTTCTAACTGTGAGCACTGAGGTGACAAGGATGAGAAATTAACAATATATAAATGAATGTAAAAACTATCACACAAAATCATCTGTATATTAATATCATATAATATAATTATTTAACCATCGTATAATAATGTTTTCCTAACGAATATTTATAAAATCGCATTTCAAAATTAAACTATAGATGTATTGTGAAAATTTTGATATACCATATTACATGTTTCCTTTTTATAGTGTTTTACTGATTTTCTTATACATGTATATATTTGTATGACTATGCATAATTGTATTATTGTATGTATGTCTTTCCAATAAATGGGGTTCCACATTTGTGAACCCGAAGCTGAAAAAAAAACCCAACCCCCTCAAAAAAAAAAACAACAATATTATTTCCAACTTCCATTTTGATTTTGATATATATCATCGACAGACATTTAGACATTTGTGCTACATAGCCCACACATAGAGGAGTCCGTGGCCGAGTGGTTAAGGTCGTTGACTTCAAACCACTTGTCCCTCACCGCTGTGGGTTTGAATCCCGACAGGGACTTTGGATTCTTTCATGTGAGGAAGCTATCCAGCTAGCTTACGGAACGTCGGTTGTTCTACTCAGGTGCCCGTTCGTGCCTGAAACAATGCACGGGAGGGGGGCACCTGAGGTCTTCCTCCACCAGTAAAGTTAGAACGTTGCGATATGACCTATACTGTGTCGTTGTGACGTTAAACCCAAAGCAAACAAACATAGCCCACATGAATTCCGTGCTGGAATTTTTGCTATAATATATCACTGATAAATTGTACAATATAACGGTAAAAAAAGATGATAATAATTTATGAAGCACGGTTACACATATTTCACACTTCAATTATATCAAATGAAAATAAATGTAAAAATATAATGAAGTGAATTTATTCTCATAATTTAGGTAACAATGGACAATGAATCAATCAGATCAATAAGTTACTTTATAACGGCGGTGGTTAAGTCTCCCCCAGACATCACCAATTACTTTCGACCCATTTGCATGATTTTAGAACTCACCCGACCACCGCCTAACCCGATACTTAATATGAGGCATAGACTCTTTGGAATCGTTTAAGACACTTATGGCGGCAGAAATGTGTTTTCTTTATTCTCTTCCCATTGAAAAGTTCTTCCAAGTGATCGGGAAACTCTTGAGACATCTTTAGATTTGTTAGATACTTCATCATACAGGCCTCATAAACTTTCTGCAAGAAACAGAGTTCTTCTTGGGCCTATGTGGTTTTGAACATACCCGGCGTTAATGATGCTGTCGTCATGGTTCAACATATCAATGTCAAGTGTGACAATTGAAGTAAGGTTGGCAACTGGATCGTGTGTGGTTCGCTATGAGAGAAACTTGGAAAAGAATTCCAATAGCCGTAGGAGCAATTGATGGAATTTCTCATGAAATCAATAGGCCTATGAATGAACCACAGGAACAGTTTTAATCGGACATCGGCGGTACCATTCCATTCTTTCATAAATAAAATTTTAATGACATGGTACTATAATATATATACTGGTCATCAAAACGATGCCCAGCAGTATCATATGTTACCTCAGATCGGTTGAACACGCTATAGCTGAAATTAAACGTTACAGTTCAATTTCAAGTGTATGGAGACACAAATGGAATGTTCTTCAAAAAATTGTATATATTTGTACTTACATTACTAGTCGTAAAAAGATTATAGGACTTGTAATTATTTAATAGAATAATACATATTTTGAGATAATCCCTCCAAATATCTGTTTGTTGTTCGTCTCCGGCTATCGTTATCCGTAAAAGCTAATCATCTCTAATAGGGCAAATCTGTTACTTTAACATAATATTTGCTTTACTTTTGTAGCCATTGCTATACATATCATAGCCTTTGCTTTAAAAACATTCATAGCAAGATTACTTTCATAGCCTTTGTTCTACTTTTTATAGCCTTCTCTTTTAATCACTTTCAAAGCATTTGCGTTACCTTTTACCCATTGCTTTACTTTTATAGCCATTGCTTTACTTTTGTAACCATTGCTTTACTTTATATTACAGATGTGATGTCAATGTTGTTTGACCTGAAGGAATTAGTAGACATGATGTCATTAGGGATCTTGTTAGCTTAACCCTTGTGGCTGTGTCGGTACTTTTGTTACGATACAGGGTGCACAATATAGGAGAAATAGATGAATCAAAGGGAAGTTATACTCAAGTGAAAGGATGTTTCTTAGCTCCACGTTTCGAAGACCTTGCCATCAGTGTTGATTTTGGTGTCGGCATTGGTTAAGTTTTTTGTTTAGATCCTTTTTTCTTATAAACTATATAAGCTGTCCATTTAAGGATAAGTCTTAATTGTTTTCATTATATTTAGTGTTAATATTTTTAGTGATTTGTCAAGCCATCATTATAGAATCAGGCCAGCCTGATCATCTGTGCACCTGAATACCAGACTATAATTTGTGGACTGAAAAACTTAAATTTTTCATCTTGATTTACCTAAAACAGATAATTAACAGTACTAAAAATGAAAATTGGACAAGTCTATTTAGAAAATTCAGAAGGGTTAAGAAAGATTTTCTTCTTGATTATTACAAGTAATCTCAATAAAGTGATAAGGTTCTTTTGATGTATGTAAACTAACTTTTTGTTTTGTGTATTTCAGGTACCATGGTTACCATTTCTACCGGGTATTAGTATATTTGTTAATATATTTCTCATGCAACGTCTTCCAGAAGCGACATGGATCCGGCTTGCAGTATGGATGGCAATAGGTTAGTATATATGTTCCAGTAATCCCCCGTTTGTATTTATCTATCCATGTCTACATATATATAGCCTGATCAACTGCCTTTAATAGCATTGTTCTATTTATCAGTTACTTAAAGTTGTTTTTCTCCTATATATTGCACAACTTGGTAAATCAGTCTTGCAAAACTGCTCAGAAATAGCGCAATTTTCTCCCTTTGATTACAAGATCCTTTTCTAATGGACATAAGAAAGATTGAACAAAGGCAAGGTAATATATCAAACTGTATGAGAAATTTTTTGATACATTAATTTGTACTGAATACTACATTTGTGCAAATATATAACTTTGAAGAGTACTTTATTCTTTAGTTTTTAGATTTTACTTATATGGAGCATACATTTATGTGTATATAATCTTCTTCTCCTCTAACAAAAGGTTTTTAATCCTTAAGACTAGAATGTTTTTCATGTTATTTTCATAATATCTTATAGATATATGTTATCAGATACACTCATATATGTTGCTTCAGGCTACATTTTCAGATGTACGTAATCAGATTTATGTAATCAGTTTTTTTCTCATATGTATTGCTTAAGGCTAGATTTACAAATTATGTTATAAGATTTTCACATATATATTGCTTACAGTTAGATTTTCAGATGATATGTTATCAGATTGTTTTATATATTTTGCTCACGGTTAGAGTCTCAGAAGTATGTTATCAGATTTTCTCATATATTTTGCTCACAATTAAATTTTTAGATGTATATCTTTCAGGCTTTCTCATATATTTCTCGTATGGCTGTTGGAACAGTCTTGAACCGATTTCCATGACAACCTTTCCCTCTCTTCCCTACAACTTCACCCTCATACTGAGATTGATGAACTATTTGATGATATTGAGACAGAAATTAATGTTTATGTTGATCATACCTCTGATGAAGACGACAGATAATCTTCCGCTTGGTATGTAAAACATGGTATTGTTGTGACAGTCCTTTGACTGATAGTGTTAAGAAGTTCATCACTAGGTCCTCTGTGGTTAGAATATGGTGAGCTATTGTACTCATGCACCCCTATGTTGGTGTCGATGCTGGCGTCACAATATGGTTAAGTTTTTACATGCAGGTTGGTATTTCCAAAAGCACTAAAATGAATGAGTTCAAACTTCACACGCTTGATTAATTATCTAACATGATGGGCACAGGTTCTATAACTCTGATGTACTTTTTTACACAATTATGCAACCTTTTCTTACTTTAAACATTGAGAACATGGAGAATATTAATTTGAATACATGGGCAGCTGTATTATGTGGTCTGGTTATGTTTGGCCTTTAAAGCTACGTGATAGCTCTAAATGAGTGAACCGATTTCTAAAATAACAAATCATCACCTTAGTGCAATAACTGGTTAATCCTATTAAGGACTTATCATGTAACTGCACTAAGGTGACGAAATGTGTAGGATTAACTTAACATTGCTCTGTACAATACAGAGATATATTTATAATATGCTTTCAAAATTTGTAATAACAGATTTGTATTTCCTTCACAGTCACAAATCATGCCTTGCATAGATCCTTGAGCAAATAGTGTAACCTGGTAACATAACAGCTTAAGTATACATTGCTTTGTTGCATTACAAAATGTCTTGTAGCGGACTAAATTCATTATCTTGCTTTCTAACTATATGGTTGTTATTGTGAAAGCCACCAATCTGAATGTTTACATTGCTGTCTTTGTTATCATTGTTATATTGAGAGTGACCAAACAAGAATTATGAATCACTTTGTTACTAAGGATCTTTGTCTAGGAAACAACTTATTTTATTCTTTTCTGATTAAGGATACATTGAGTTAATTTGAAAGTGATTCATATTGCTCATCCAGAAAAGCTGACAAATGGTGGGGTGGTGGCCAAGAGGTTAACACATCAGACTAGTAAACTAAGGATTGCTTACTGCATTGTTTGTAACCTGATCTATCTGGGACACTTTGTTGTTTCCTTGGGCAAGAAACTTTACATTCATTGTTTAAGTACTGGTTGGTTCCAGGAATAGATTCGAGAGTGTTTCAATACGCTTATAGCTTACATTACAAACTAAACTAAATTCACATAAACTATAAACTAAAGCTGGATAGATTAAACAACTGTTGAGATGTGATCAAAAAGGTGTTAAAATCAGCATTAAAACAAAACAATCTAAAGAGAAACCTGAATTAAAGACCACCTCTGAAGAAAGACAACCCTGTAAATGCAGGCCACATTTGGCCAACCCTTCATTGATTAAATAGATAAGAGTAACCTCCAAATTAAAATCACTTGTCTATGAAGGTCATGTTCAGTGTCTTCATTGAATGACTTTTGTTCACAGGTTTAACTGTAAAATAACTAAACATATGCGTAGATAATAACACATGAAATTTTCCTGTAATAAGTGGAGCAGCATAGTGGTTTAGGTTGTTGCTTCTCAACATAAGGATTCTGATTTGAGCTCCATGTAAGTGACTACTATGTTTCCTCGTATGACCCAGTACTAATTACCATGGTAACCAGGAAACAGATTCAAGAAAGGTTCAAATTTATTTCAAGTCTTCTACACAATCCAGCAGCTTAGTTTTTTAATGTTTAAACTCAACTTTACTCATCTTTTGTATTGTTGTTTAACAAAAAATTATGGAATTACCCATAATCAAGTTTTTCCATGTTAACATCAGGGCCTTACATTATAAGTTTGGTGAAAAACTGTTGTTTTGTGGGTTTTCTAATTGTTTTTTTTGGGGCACATCATGCCTCAGAAATCTATATGAATTGAATTCTTCGGAAAAATCAAACATGTGTTGAATAATGTGTTTCTAATAGATTTAAAGCATGTTAGATATTTAACAGCTGAAGAAATGATCTCTGAATGTACAGTTATGAGTCGTACACATAGCAAAATGTAAACAAAGTAGTATTTTAACTTCCATACAAAATACTAAATCACTATAGTTATACCGATTGCCAACATAAGAAAAGGAAACAAACTTAAGGTAGTTCATCTCTATGGCAAATGAGTATTTCTTTGAAACTGTGACATTTAGATACAAACATTTGTGAAATAAACAAATTAGCATTTTTGAGGCATAATGGGCCTTTATGAGACACCACAATATCTGTTGCTTTTTACCCACAAAGGAACAAAGAATATTTAACCATTATCTTTTACAGGGTTAGCAATTTACTTTTTGTATGCAATCAGGGACTTAGAAAATCGGTCACTGACACATTCCCCGATTACGAGGTGAAATATGAAAAGAAAGGAAGCGCAGGCCAAAAGATGAAACAAGATGCTGAAAAAGTAACGCTGATAAATGAAAATACGAATTTGCTATTAGGTCGTAGAGAAAGTAATGCTGATGGCTGGACAAACACACTTTGAGGACAAAGGGACAGTAATGTTGTTTAATGAGCACACAAAACTTTGCTTTGAAATCAATTCATTTACATTATACCTGAAATTAAATCTATAGATAAAATCTATGAAATTTCTAAATGCTATTTTACAAAACTTTATGATTTGTTTTAAATATTTTGCTGCTATCATCACTATGTCACGCATACAGTAAAGTAACATGATAGAAATAAAATGTTATTGTGATGTTATACTTATTGTGTGTAATTGAAATACTTGGATGACTTTTCTATTGGGGACCAATTTTAGCAGGACTTGCTAAAAAAATCAAGGTATCGCTACAGTTGTGTCATCCTGCTACCGTTGCTGTCATGACATTGACCTTGAAGGTCAAATAAATGAATTTTGCTTGATTTTTGCTATGATTGGTAATAACTTTGTTATTTATGTATGGATTGTCTGCGTACTATGACACAAAAGTACTGAAGACAAGGCCTTTATGTAGCCCAAAATACACAAAACCGGTTTATTGAAAAATTCAAATTTGACATAAACCTTTATTTGACGTTGACCGGCAAGATCAAATTGGTTTAAATTGTCATCACTCTGTTTCTTATTTACATATATGATTCATACTTGGAAAAAGAGCACATATTACAAAACAGACATGATGATTAATTCAAATGTGACCTTGACCTTTAATTGACCTTGATTGTCAAGATCAGATATGAAATTTGAATTTTTTTGTTAAATGAAATTTGTTTTGTAGCGGTACTCTAAACGATAATATTTTTCCTCTGAAGTTCTTGACTTCAGAAGTATGAAAAAAAAGACAACAGTGGCCCCGCCTGGCAGTGACTCTTGTTGCATGTATGTATGGTAACTATGCAAATTAGAATTGTTTGACTTCTTTTAGAATCATGTATATACATTTCTTATTTAATTTTGTTTTGTACCAGAGAGTTATTGAAAATGTTTACATGAGTGCAGTTTTTCACCCTGTCAAAATATTTTTCAATAGTTTCTTTATTTGATCAAGTTTCTAGCATTTCAATCTTAGATGATATCATTAGAAAAATGTTATACTGCCAAATTGTGTGTTTGCAAAATACTTCAGTTGAACTTTTTTTCTGGTTACATGTTGTTCAAATATGACTCCTTTGGGCCAAAATTATGTGTTGTTTGTTGTGTTTTTTTCTTCATAGACTCATAAATTAGAGAATACCTTTAAATGCACTTATTCTTCTATGCATTCTTTGTAATATTGGAAGCCCTTGACAATATGTTACAGGGTCTTCTAAAATATATATATACAGTAAACTCCGCTTATAACGAACTCATTGGGACATTCAAAATCTGTTCCTTATATCCGGAGTTCCTTGTAAGCATATAGCGAATTAGTTCCTTGTATCAGAAGTTTTTATAGCGAACAGTTTTACATATAACGAACTAATTGTTTACCATCGCCCTCCATTTTGAAGAACATTTGATTAAGAGAAATAACTTTTTGGTTGGTCATTGTTGTCTCCCTTATATTGATTCAATAAAGAAAAAAAAAAGGATTAATTGCAATGTTGTTTCTTTTTTATTTAATTTTTTATGTATAAACATATCTATAAGATAATTATATGATATGTACCATATATGCAATATTGTTATTTATTAACAATACAGTATCATGCATAAAAATAATCACTTTGCTTTGAAAAAGTTGCTACTTTTAGTTTGGGAATGTTTACAACTCTTCAGATCCAAAAACTTTTTAAAAACTGTTTCTTCAACATGTGCATTAGACTCTAAGTTTGACCTAATCTTGTGCAAACAATCAATAGCTTCATTTTTTGACACAACCGGCAGATCATCTAAATTAGATCTCGTCTTCGGATGATTGACTGTCATCGTCATTATTTGTTCCTAATATATCCGCTACATTCGGCCAAGTTTTAATCTGTGGCGATGAAAACAAAAGTAGAAAATGCGTGATCTGTTTTCGGATAGCCGATATTTTGGAGTTCGTTATAAAAGTGTAATTTTCTGTACTTTTAATGGCATTGGGACTAAAAAATGAGTTCGTAATAAGCGATAATTCCTTATAAACTTGTTCGCTGTAACCGTAATTTTTTACATTAAATAAAGAAGGGTAAAATTCGGACCAACAAATTTTGTTCCTTATAACCGGCAGTTCGCTATAACCGTGTTCGCTATATGTGAAGTTTACTGTATTTGTTGATGTACAAGTAAAAAGCGTTTTAATGTTCAATTTTTCAAGGTTGGGTATATTTGTTCAAACTTGTGTAAAAATTGTCATCAGCATTTTATAATTACTGGAGCATTTGTTGCACATTTTCATGCTTTAAGGGGCCAGTAATTGTGATGAATACAGCTTTATGAATAAGTTTTTTTATGGTTATGTTTGTTTATAAGAATGCAACAGGCTTGCTTCGAGATTAATTTATTACACTATTATATGAATTAATGGGCGTTTGTTATCGGTTATTGTTTATTCTGTTGTTAAAAAGTCACTAAGTAAATTAAATGTTTTTATTTCTATTTTGTTATTCTTTTTTAGTAGCTGACTGGAGCACTAATAAGTCAGCCTCTTTGATGACATAGTGTTTGTCTTCCAACAGTTGTCTTATCCACAATTCAAATATATCTCATAAAACCACGAGGAGGATTTTGACCAAACTTGACAGGAATTATTCTTCGGTTGCCTTTTACAGAAGTTATATAACTTGTTCCAATCTAATATATTAGGTTACTAGAACTATAAATAGACTTTAGAAATGAAATCTTCAAAAATTTAGAACAAAACTCAACAAGGGAAAGGCGACATTTACAGAACGCAGCCTACAACACAATCCAGCCACATCAGTAGGGTACCCAAAAGGCAACGAAAGTCTTGAATTTCTATAGCTGTTACAGTGTGGGTCACTACAATGTATTTAATCATGTACCTATGTCAAAATTTGCCCTCTTAGTTCTATAGGAGTTTTATTTTGTAAAACTACAATGTCTAGAGCTTAGATATTTTGTATGCAGCATTGCCCAGTGGATTTCTACTAAATATACATAAATTATGTCCCCGCCCTCCCAGGGCTCACTTAGTCAGCATAGTGCAACAATTTTAAGAGTCAAATTATTTGAAAATCTGTGAAGGAACTTTTCAAATTAAACATACTTACACCGTCTAGGTAAGTTAAAGAAAATGTTAAGTTGCTGTTACAACATATATTGTTTTGTAAAGCCTCGCCATTTTTTATCAAATTTATAACTATTTCATATTAACAATATACAATGTATTACACTAAATGAGTTACAATGTATCTCTAAGCTCCATGATTTTGAGCAAATAGATACAGAATGTAATCATTCGTTGTGCGTAATTGGAGTCTATCCCGCCAGTTGTTTAGGTTGAGGTGACTGAAAAAAGAGAGATAAGGTTCTTTCATGTAAGAAAGCTACCCAGCTACCAAACCGAAGTCCGATAGTTTTTCCCGGATGCCAGCCACTTAGTAGCACTCTTCCAGGAAAAAAGCTTACAATGCACTACTTGGATATTCGTTCAAGATTATCTATACATGTATATGATTATCTATATAAAATCTGCAATTTAAATAAGGTCAAAGAATTATGACAGCACTTTTAGATATTTTGACATATTTTTACCTGTTGCCATGAAATTAAATATCACAATATCCTAAATAGTTTTTTCCCGAATTAACAGCATTTTATCAAAGAAGCCATCTAAGATTTGGGAATCAAGAAATTACTTGAATATTAAAATGCGAAATGCTAACACCATATTAGGACATATGTTGTCACCGCAAAGCAAGGGAAACAACATTTCAAGTTTTTTTTCTTATTTTTTCAATTGGCAAGATGTCAAATAATACAAAAAATAAAAAAAAAATCTGCGATGGCTGATGACGAGAAGCCATAATAATGACCTGAGTAGCATGTTTTTTTATATTGCCGAATCTTAGCGGTGGCTACTTTTATTAGAATACCGTTGAGAAGTTAAGAAATGAAATGTTGTTTAAAAATAAGTAGAATTTTGCATTGCTATTAATAACTATGTTAAACAGAACGATAGGAGGTGATAACATATCTAAAATTACAAGATGATCTTTTTCATTTCTTAGATTTAGAATTGCTGGTTTAAAATTAAAATTACAGAGAATTTCCATATGATATCTGGATATCGAATTTGACAAGATTCGTAGGAAGCCAGCTTTACTCTGCCAGGACCCTAATGCTACGAAAGTCCCTTATCTCAGGAAGGTTCCCTATGACAGGAAGGTCCCTAATGCCTAACGCCAGGAAGGTGCTTAATTTCAGCAAAGGCCTAATGCCAGGAATGTCCTTAATGCCTAAAGCTTGGAAGGTCCCTAAAGCCAGGAAGGTCCCTAATGCCTAATGCAAGGAAATTCGCTTTTTTCAGGAAGATCCCTAATCCCAGGAAGGTCCCTTATGCCAAATGCCAGGAAGTTTCCTAATGCTTAATGCAAAGAAGGTCCCTAATCTCAGGAATGTCCCTAAAGCCAGGATGATCCCTAATACCAGGATATTTTCTCAAATGCTAGGAATGTCCAAAATATAGACAACGAACAGATCAATCAAATGCATGCGCCCTTGAATAATTAATGTGTCACAACCGACTTATCATTTCATGCCTTAAATTTTCCAGAATACTGGAGAGTGCTGATAAGGAAACATGAACTTGTTTTTATTTTTATTAAAACATGAAGGTAGTCATACAAAAATAGTACTACGCAAACAAATTACTGCTAAAAGTCGTCTTTTCTGTAATTCAACAAATCAGACGTTTCTAGATTGCTTGATTAATTCTTCGAACAAGACATAGATTGATAAAACATATCTGATTTTCATCATCCTGTAATGAATAAAACATAGTTAAACATGTAAATATCAAAAATGAGCATGGTCTTCGATAGTTCTATTGAAGTACATTTGAGTGAACAAGTTAAATTGAAACGTACTGCTTACGCCTGTGCAAAAAAATGGGGGAGAGATTTACTTATATAACTTGTATAACCTATTATTTCTCTTATGAACCGCTTCAAATGAATCAAATCTTCTTTTTTTTAAAGTTTTTCAATTTGTGTGGTTTCGATTCTATTTACACTTACCACCGGTTGTTCATATGAGTGAGTCCACCAGACGAGAATTTAATATTTTGAAGGATAGTGCAAGATACAAATTCCAGAAGCTTCTCCTGGTTC